CGGTGAGATAGACTGGGTTTCCATACTGTCGCCGTTTGCTCGACGCCGAGCATTGAGTAAATGTTTACAGCGAGAATTTGTTGCGACTCGCCGATTCCGCTCGCCAAGTCTGAGGCGAAATTGATAGACAGGCCCGCTGGCTTGAAATTAACATCATCAGCTGACTGAGACCTGCATGTTTTGCAGCACGAGAAAAACGTGCATTTTATGTCGGATGAACTCGGTGCTGTGTTTGAAAATTCGGACATCCACCTGAAATTGTTTGTCTTTTTAAAAAGCAGTTTTTGTCCTTTTTAAATCAAGTGTTGTTTATCTTTAAACAAAATTATTTGCTTTTGTCAGACCACATGCTCTGAGTTATCTTAGCTGCGCGTTCCTCCATGGCACACAGACTGTCATTTCCATTTGAAAGAGATGGATTGTAAACATGGTCGATGTTTTCATTTAAAGTATCTTCATTAATCATGATGCCTTGAGTTGAAACTGTTTATTAGTCTTAAAACCTGATTTTGAAAAGATTATCTACAGATGCTTGAGGACAAAGTAAAGCTTTAGCTGAATCAATTTCTATCACATATAATGACCACGATTTTTAATTCTGGAAATTACGTACATATGCATGTGTTGGTGGAAAATTCTTGAACCCTTTAACTGATCGTTTCAGACAGACCGTTACAAGTTTGAAGATATGATCAAAAGTAAATTGTCGGTTTTTGTTTTCATTTCTACGCTTTCTTGTTTCTGCGTTGTTCATTTCTGCTGGCACATTGAAAGAGGCGCTTGGGTCGGTAAAATGAGTGAGTTTGAGTTTACGCCGCTTTTAGCAATATTCCAGCAATATGACGGTGGGGGACCCAGAAATGGGATTCACACATTGTACCCATGTGGGGATTCGAACCTGGGTGTTCTGTGTGAACAGCGAACGCATTAACCACTAGGCTACAACACCATCACTCGTTAAAATGAATACACCCAGCGATTTGGAATTGGGTTATCATAAACTGCGTTATCTTTCTGCTTGGTCAGATCTATGATTTAAATCAATCTCACAATCAATCAGCACACGAGGTACACATAGAAACAATGCTTCAGTTCAACATCACGAGTTAATGACACTCGGCCAAGATCAGATAACGGCATCTGGTTGTAGCAGAGAGGATACGAGTGAATGGATATGGTTTTACGCCGCCTTTTGACATTATTCCATGAGTAGCATGATTGAGGAAACCTGAAATGGGTTTCGCAAAGAATATCCATGTTGGGAATGCAACCAGGACCTTGATGCGAGCGCTCTAACCACTAGGCTACCTAGCACAATACTGAAGTATTACGAAGATGTCGAAACTCGTATCTTATACCTTGTCTGCAGATGGGATTGCTAAAAATTAGGGTGGTTGGGTAGCCTAATGGTTAAAGCGTTCGCTCATCACGCCGAATGCCCGGGTTCGATTCCCCACATGGGTACAATGTGTAACGCCCATTTCTGGTGTCCCCCGCCGTGATATTGCTGGAACATCGCTAAAAGCGGCGTAAACCCATACTCACTCACTCAGTGATAAAATTCATAACTAATGTTCAGGTATCTCAGAGTGACCAACCTCAAAGCTCAAAATGGTCAAAGTCTCAGATGGATACTTCGCTGTGACTTACTTTTCCCTGCCATTATGACTCACATCCATCCGGACCCGTTTAACTGAAGAAGGTACGACTGCAGTATCTAAGAGCACAGTGTTACAGTTTGGCAAGGCCCCGTATAACAATGTCAAGACTTGGGATAGACAGACAAACAGACAATATGTATTCTCCCTTCCACGAACGGTACCATACCACTTTTTGTGGTAACGCAGCAATATCATAATTTAGCTAGACATGAGACTCGGTGATGTACTCGAGTATGGAAATAAATCACCATACATTGGCTATATAATGAATTGGAAGTGAAATCTATTGTGATCTTTGGGTTTTTGGATGTTTAGAAACATTAACTTTCAGCTACATAGCTGAGGCCCATTCATAATCTATTTTAGCCCAGACAATGCAGTGATTGATATCATGAAAACGTTCCACAGAGTTGGGTCGCGATGACGTACAATCAACCAAGCCATCGAGTCTGATCATGGAACCCATTGAGTTGCCCCTAAAGACAAGTTACCCGTGAAGATCCGGGTCTTCAGTAACCCATGCTTGTTGTAAGAGGCGACTAACGGGATCGGGTGGTCAGGCTCACTGACTTGGTTGACGCATGTCGTCGTATCCCAACTGCGTAGATCGATGCTCATGATGTTGATCACTGGATTGCTTGGTCCAGACGCGATTATTTACATACCACCGCCATATATAGCTGGAATATTGCTGAGTGCGGCGTAAAACTAAACTCACTCACTCACTCCTAAAGACAAGTATGGAATGCGCGGGACCACCTTTACCACAGCAGGAAACAGTATTTGACGGGCAGCTACGGGATAAGTGTTGATGTGTGAGTGAGTGAGTTGGGTATAGTGCCGTATTGAGAAGCATTTCAACTATATTGTGGTGTGTTAGTTTGATGTGGGAGAAAAGTCAAACATGGTGCTGAGTGTATTCATGATCAAGCTGTCAAGCATCTGGTTATCATCGGATCCTGGGAGATCCAGGGGACGCAACTTATAGTCGACTGAACAAACCGTGGTGGCATGCTACAAGCAAATACATTGAGTAGGAAAACTATGTCGAATATCAGTACTCCGTTTGTCTCAAAGTGTGGATAACTAGATGTTCCGGAGCAAAATTATATTGTCCCAATATATGTATGTTTTTTCAATCACACACCGTTGACCGGCGATACACGGTTAAAAGTAGACCCCTTTAAACCGGACTGTGAGATAACGAAGTCGTATGCACTGTATGTAATTCAACAAAATAAGTGCTCAAATAGATTTGCAAAGATAATGTCAAATGTCGTTTAGTAAGATAACCTTAGAAATGCCCTTTTCGTCGGTAGTTCGTCTTATAGTGACAGCTTTACGTCTTCATTATCTCAATCTTCTCTTCTGTGTGGAAAGGAATGTTTTTATAACCCTTTAAAACTGGTTGCGGGGACTGCCAGTTCAGCATGTCGGTAATATTACGCGACTGAGTTGTTGCAAGTAACAAGATCATTCTGTACATTGACACCCACAGTCTTTCGGACGCTTTTAGATATGGTACACACTTACAAGTTACCGTGTGTGTTTCGTGAAATTAACGATATTTCAGATCTTTGCTTTCTGAAAGTGAGAATATGTCTTGAATTATCTTACTGATAAAATGCATAACATTTTACATTACGTTGATGATAGTAGGGTATTAGGATTAAGGGTATAAGAATTTTCTTATTTATTTCGTGTTTTCCTTCATGACCATATTCTAGGTCATAAAACCATGTTCCACTTCAGGCCAATGTTAAACTAACGAAATCGTCATTCTAGTGACAAATGACGATGTCAAATCTTCAATTGCAATCGACATGGTTAATCAATTTCACCACGTGTAATGTACACGGGAAGTGTTTACACAGTTCATAGGAAAATATCCCACGGGAGTGAAATTGATCAGGTGTCGGAAAACAATGAATTACTGGCCAGAGCTAATGAAGGATTATGAAGCAAAATATCTGACACCCAATCATGCGAGATTTGACGAGAAAGCTGTTAAATATTGAATAAAAACAGAAAATATCGTATTTGGTTACTCGGTTCGTTTGACTTTAATCAAGATGTACTTTACATTCATTACGATATTTACACACATTCTGCAGTCGAACTACATCATAGAGTTCATTTTGCGGATCCCTTTCGCAGGTTAACCTCGTCCTTAATTTCTTAAGGATAGCACACGCCTTTGTAAATATTTTTCAAATTTGTTAATAGAACCTTTAATTGATTAACAACGCTCAGAACCTTTGTCTTGGCGGTCGGTTCATTAAAAATAATATCATTTACTCATCTGTATTAAAACTTTAGAATTGTCTTAAAAGACGTCATAGTCAAGGGTGTTGCTGTACTTAAGAAAGAGTGGCATTGAAAATAACGGGATCATAGCTATTGGAGATCTTTGAAAACATTATCCATCTTGGGGATCGTGTCATAATTATCATTTTGACAGCTGAAATAATTCCGTTGATACTATGTGCACTCGTAGCCCCGTTTATCTAATTGCTGATATTTCCTTTTGAATAAATACTATTTTAAATATACAGAATACTCTTATGTAGCCAAATCCAGCAAATACCGAAACCGAACATATACCTGATGCATATACCCACAATGAAGCATATACCTGAATAAAGGCAACATTGTTATTTTGTTTGAAATCAAATGTACGTCCATGCTACTGGTTTACGCATAGTTACAATGACAGCAAAGTCTTGCCATACTAGTCTAATATTCAGGGCAAGAGTGCAACGATCAGCCTATGTGGTCAAGTGGTCAGATATTATGACACGACCCCCTAGATTCGAGGGATAGTCATTTTATCAACACATATCTAACAAATAAATATTATCCTTTCATACATATACCTTCCGCCCAACTGGCGGCTCTGGATTCATCAAGTGATGCATCCAACACGGAATTTAGGAAACCAAATACTGCGGGTCATTTTATGGACATTGTAATGACGCTGTAATGACATTATATTGACACGTTTGGGCACCTGAAAACACAGTACTAGAAACATGAAGTATTCAAAATATTTCAACGCAGCTATCCCTAACATTTTCCCCAGTTCTGACCTAAGAAACTACAGTTTCAGATGACTGTGAATATTCGTAAAGAGGACATTTTGAATAAAATACACTCATCTCTTTTTTTTAAATAGGATGCAGAGCAGGAACAATGTTATTGATACGAAACGTTGAGAATATGAGAAGAATAACCAGCCTTACTTGGTCTTTGAGGAAGACACATAGGAATATTTCGGAAAAGACTTCCGCCCGCATCCCCCCGTAAATTTCATTTTGCATGGCTAACCTAACCCGATAATTTAATGTATGTAGGCACAATGTCAATTTTAAACTTATTTTATACCTTCTAGTCAAATCATATTACCTGAAATATATATATCATCATCGTTAAAATTTAGGTGGGATACGAGCAGAAGTCTTACCGTTATTTCTGCCACTGGGAATTTATTCTGGTAATGATGTTGAATAATTATCGCTAATAGCGTTAGATACAGGATGAACCCAACGTGTACTCAATAATTCCTTTTGAAAAAAAAAGATGAAAGTTGATAGAAGCACTTAATGGAACCGTAATAGAAGTACTGCCTTCATTTGATGCTCTCCCCTTTGTATCAGTGTCAAAGTACTTACACAGCACTATGTTTGAGAAAAAAATACGCCAAAGGTACTAACTAACACCATGGCATAGTCTGTTAATGACTATATGTCAACAGAATGGATTCCGTTGCTGCTGTTGGAAACAGTAGGATGTTCTAAACTAAACTACTTTCGGCCACAGAGATCAAAACATTTGTTTGTGATCTGTCCAATGAATTCGGCAATTTCCGTCAATGTCCGGTCATTTCCGCCGTGACCGAGTCGCAAGCATCACAGATTTGTCTTTTGCACATTTGCCCAATCACAAATTGTTCTACAACAGCAAAAACGATTTTCATGTCAAATTTTAAATTGAAGAAAAAAAGAACAGAGTCGTCCGTGTCATAGCGACAGTCCCAAGACGTCATTTCGACAAATCTAAATGTCGACATTCAGCACAATACTACACATGGCAGTGTCACTTTCACTTCACATATAATGATGACGTCATCAGTTCAGGTGCACATATACATACTTTTGGCCATTTCGAGTTTGAGAAGGTCAATCTCATATGTAGATAAACTGTTCACAATTCATGTTGTGTCTACGTTGGCATACCCGTCAATAAAAGTCGCTAGTGATGAACAGGCTGTGTTATTTGTCAAGCCGGAGGTCCGACTCGCGATGCGCCTGCCTTCTGTCGAGACCATTCAACATTTTCTCTATGCTTTTCAGTTCACTGTGAGGGTTGGCATGAGTCACAGCTATGCTTTGGAGTGGACTTTTCCTTGAGGGTGGACTTTGACACATTGATGATACTGAATGGGTGATGCCCCGAGAAGAAGGTTCCCCACCCCCAAGGGGAGCACAGGGTGAGGTGATGGGGGACCCTGCTGAAGCCATTGTGGTCTTGGTCAGGGGTATTGTGTAAGGGTTGAATCTGTGTCCCGCGCTTCGAGAAGCGAAAAGGGAACTGAGATGATGAGATCCTGCGAGGTGCGACAGCGAGGTGCCCGGGAGACCCAAGGAGGGGTACCCTTGGGGGAGGAGATTGGAGTTTTGGAGGAGGCCATGGGATCCCCCCATGTGGCTAGACGACCCCATCCCCGGCCCGTGGAGATGGGAGGATGGAATGGGGGACATATTGTGACCCGTGTGATGGAGAAGTGATACCGGAAGAGACCCGTGGGACAAGGATGATGTGTTGAATAGTACAGGGTTGAGTGGGTAATGCAGCCCTGCTGTCGATGAGGGGTAACCCGATGGGCAGAGATAAGGAAACATAGGATGAGACACAGATGGTTGAATCACTGTCACATTCGGGGGACTAGTGTGCTCTTTGAAGAAGGACTTCTCGCGTTCCACAACCATTTCTTTCACATGTTCACTGTCCGAGTCTGATCTCTCGCCATCTGAGCGCTTTTCTGTGTCAGATGATCGGTAAGCTGGCCTTGAACTCACTTCGTCCTTGACCTCATCATGACCCTCATCGTCCGTCACTGGTTCCGTGCGTAAATGGTCATGGTTTGACGACGTCTCGTCCTCTGAATGTAATACATTGTGATACTGAGCGGAATCTCTATCGTCACTGACATCAATCTCTTCCTCGCCATCGTCATCTGCACATTCGACCTTGACATCAGTGACTGATGTCTCACTATCGTGACGCTGACCTTCAACTCGACGTTCAACTTGAACGTCACCTTCAACTTCAGAATGATCTTTGTCGATGTTTGGGTCGGGTGGATCGTCAACGGATACTGGATTCTTAATGTCCGCTGACTCGGAAGTTTGGGATTCTGAAAATAGGAATGAAATCTTACAGTAACTTCAACAATGAGTTTCCATTATTGGTCTCCGTTGTATGCGAAATACCAACATCAGCATATGCTGACTTATGGTTTCCATACAAACATTTCACAACGATATAAGTCCCTGGCGGCGACTTCACATAAATATATTAAATAAGTTGGCTACGCCCACAACAATAACTCCAATTAACATCGTTAAGTAGACATTACGTCAGTATTACCTGGCAAAGTTTCCGGTGACACACGATCTTCTGTTCCCACCACGGGCGCTGCCACGTCGTCAGTCTCAACTACCACGATAACCTCGTTTTCGGCTTCATCGTCATCACTGCCATTGTGGCTTACTTCCGGTTTCTGCTCGCAGTGCATGCCGGACGTACTTTGTGAACTTCCCAGGAGCAGTCGTCTAGAAATAGAGAAACTGTACACCAACGTGTCAAAATACAAACTATCAAGGAACATCTGAACATCATGTGTCGTTCTTCCCATCGACTATGAGATTGTGGAACAATTTATCTACAGATGTAAGAAATTGTACTTCACTATCAAAGTTTAAATCGAGCATAATAACAACATATAACTCAGCTCCACTGTACTTTTCTTACGGTATTAGAAAATTTAACATATTACATACTCAACTACGTCATGAAGCTAGTAGCTTAAGTTACGATCTGTACAGAGTAGGGCTAATCACTGATCCATCCTGCGCATGTGGAAACCCATGCGAAAATGCTCATCACTATTTCTTAGAATGTTCTTTATACAATCAACATAGAAAGATCATGCTTAAAGCTATTCAAGATGTATGTGGTAGTAATTACTAATAAATTGTGATTACATTGTCTGTTAGTTTAAACGGCATTGCAGATCTGACAAATCATAAAAATGAAATTATATTCAAAAATGTACATCAATATATATGCAAATCTAAACGATTCCAGTAGTCTTCCCTCTATACACCTTTTGTATTATAACATTTCCCCCTGTTATCTTTCAGTCCTTCTCTGTCTCTGTTTCTAATAATTGCTTGTGACGTAATTAGTTATTGTAAATATCTTTGGAGAGGGGTTTAAAGAAAGAGTTGAAAGAGCTTGTCCCCGATCCTTTCCACATTGTGAATAAAATATGTTTAAACTAAACTAACATCTGAGAAAATACCTGATGTTAGCGATTGGCGGGGAGTTCAATCAATCGGTGGTGGGGCTGTTGCATAGCGAAGTTAAGTTGTGATGGTATGAAGGATTAAGGGATGGTTGTGTGGTGGGTTGGATATAAGGTATGCAGTGTGGTGATATTGTCGTATAAGATTTAGGAGTGATTTAAGCCTTGGAGTGAATCCGTGAAAAAAATTTTACGGCGCGTTGGCAATATCGGAGCAGCAAATCAGCATAAATGGGTTTTAAAAAATTGTGGAATCGAACCCAGAACTTCGGCTTGAAAAGATAACGCGTCTACCACCAGGCTATCCCATCACACTTAAGTGATGGAGCTATGGTGGGGTAAAGGTTTGTTGGTGACAATAGTTGGCGGTATGGTTTCATGGTGCTTTGGGGTTTTTGTCATTTGGCCAAGGGGTTTGTTGCCTTGTTAAAGTTTGCTCTTGGGTTGATGGGTTCAGAGGAGTGAAAGTGGCTTCTGTTGGGATGGGATACTCTAAAAGAGGTAACAAACACCATCAAACATAACAAATTGCCACAATCCTTAACGAAACGCCAATTATATTCATTTAACAAACCAGTAGTATCCATCAAAACAAATAATGTACGAAAATAAGTTAATCTTTCGACGATCGTGTTTTAACAGTTTCTTGATGCTTTACTTGAGTGAGTGAGTTTTTCGCCGCTTTTAACAATATTCAAGCAATATCACCGCGGGGCACACATTGTGCCTATGTGGCTAATCGAACCCGGGCCTTCAGCGTAACCAGCGAACGCATTAACCACTAGGCTACCCTACCGTCCCCGCTTAATTTGAACCTGTAAGAATTTAATCAACATCTATGTACTGCAGAAATCATATTTCCAATCACACGCTGACGCATACAGGAAGTAACAGGCTAGGTAATACAATAGTATATTCAGTCAAAACAGAGCAGTAAGAGATAGATGACACTAAAGAGATTTGCCTCCTGTCCGAGGTCGTGGACAATAGGCCTGATTGCAAACTTAATAAATTGCAGTCGGAAAGATCTTCGTTTCACTGTAACCACGAATCTTATTATCCTACTTCGGAACAAAACAGTTTTTGTAAAGCCAACAGAATTACATCCTCCTAACCAAATAGCTCTCCACTCCAGCAATATAGGGGTATTTCCGGACGGGGGTCAAGTCATTGTTAGAGAACAGGAGGAGTGCAATCATCCCACAGAAAATGATAACCTTATAAAATTGTTTAGACAGGTCGCGGCTCTTAGCTATCAACTTCATTTGAAACCTACTGGTGTTGAATTGTCTGCTTTCCCGTGAAGGTTATACTACTAAGGATGCAGTTTGCACGGCCATTCTCAATTTAGATAATTGTTTTAAAGCTCGGATCGTTTTGGTAACGGCCAGCAATTGATCCTTGAGTTTCTATAGTAATCGTCTTATGCTCCTGACACGTTGTAAGAAGATAGCTCGCAATTCATTACGCCTTTTCCGGGCCCCGTGCCCAGTCTGTTAGCAATGAATGGCGTTCATTTGCGCAAATATAACCCCTCTAACACGAACTATAGACGTTGTTGACAATTACGCATCGCGAACCATTCACCAACGATAGAAATTGGGAAATATTATTAGGATTACGGACTAGCTAAATTTTAGAACTTGTGTTTAAATTATCCCCCTCTAATGCGTAAGGTGACACACGCGAGACCTGCGGACCGATCGTAAAATCAAATTAGACTACAACCAGGAGCTAAATCAGAGCCAATTCATACGATGAACGTTTAAACTGAATGATCGCCTTTGCAAGAAAATTACCGCTAATACCAAACCACAAAGATCCACAAGTGAAATTGACAGAAGCAGACTTTTGATTGACAGGGTCACGACAGGGAGACATGCTATGTTCGTTTCATTTCTTACTTTTTTTCTCTTTTTCCTCCTCCTGTGTCTCGAAAGCCTTTAGCGAACGGATTGTGGTCGATCTTCAGCTGTGTTATCTGGAATATAATGTGATTTCTTTTAGTTTGAATCAACTTTGTAAGTGTACGATGACACAGAGGTTCTTTCACACATTGTAAAGTATATGATTAAAACTTTCGTTTGTTTAATTAGATTATCATCCATTTACCAAGGTACATGACATACAATAATATTTGCAATACATTTGCATCGTTTATGATCATATAAGATTACGAATACACGAATGTGACTTTCGTCCCTCGTCTCCAAACGTTGGCCTACTGCTCACAATAACAGGTGTTAAGTGCAGTATAATGTTTGGAAAACGTGGTCTTATTGTATTTCCTATCTCAACTCAGTGTTATCCCGACTGAACAAACGGAATTATAATTTCAGTTCTACATATCAACCTTACGTCCAGCAAATATGATTTCGATGTAATCTCGGCGCGTTCTCGGGAGAATCATTTTATCAACTTTTAAGCATGAGATATAAATATCTGGCTTCTTTTCACAATGTTGTGACATGTGCAGCGAAGTGGAACCCCATTTCTCCTTATTAGGGAGCCTCTTGGCTCCACCATGTGTCAGTAAGTCACTCATGTGTCATCGGAGTGCAGCATAATAATCAGAGCTTAAATGATGCTATCCTTTCATAGAAAGACGGCGTGTCAATAAAACGAGAACAGGATTAACAGCCCTTATAGTAGGAACCATCTTGACGAGTGATAACATTCTCCGAATATTTACGGGTCAAGGCTTCCATAGATCTGTACGGCGAAAGGGTAAAGTGTACGGAGTTCTGTTAAGTACACGGGCGCATTATGCGATTTGTTCAAGTCTTAAGTTATGTATATAAATGGCTTTTCCATTTGAGCCTGGGTAATCACTCAAATATGAATAGTTTTATGGGCATATTTACAAACTGGAAATTTTGAAGAAATTATGATTTACTGTTTTTTTCAGCTGAAAGTCTGTCATGTTGAATAAAGGGGCAGGCGGGTAGAGAATTTAACACCTTAATTTGTTTTTCTCAATAACACCATTATATAATTGGTTCTCACCTACTGTTGCATTATGGGTGTTGCGTAGAAAGATTTTCGAAAATTATGGCTTTTATTGTCTTCCTGGCTTTAGTACCTTAAAAATACCAGACGAGGCGTAGCGCTTTGACACGGTTTTATTACCAGATATTGTTTAGTTGGGGTAATTGAACAATGTCGGGAGGTAATTACCGCGTAGGTTTGGGGTACCTGGTCGTTAGAAAATGTATTTGCGCTAAATCAACCCGCGTTTAACGTTTCCCCTGATGAGTAAATAGAAAGGAGGAGACAGGAATCACGCTCCGAGGACTACGCATTATTATAAAACTTTCGTCAAATGATGACAAGTTGAAATATGTTTAGCTGCGGAGCCATCTGGTGCACATCCGAGCTGGTCATCGATAGAAACTTGGCAATGTCGTCGTTTACAACTGGCAGTAATATTCACGTTGGAAAACAAATACATAAATAGGCTACTTTAATATCGTTAATTACCCCCATCTAATCTAATCCCAACTCGACAACAGGTGGCGCTTTCCTTCGGATAACTTCGTTCATTTCCGATCATTTAAGAATAAACAATTTCGGTGTAATCACTTTTGGCTTTGCGCGAACGAAATGTTCGTAGAGGGTTTTCAAATATCTGATTGATCGCACTGAAGATACGGTTAATTACACGTTCATTTACAATGATGACATCGTCAATTGCATATTTCTTTGCACTGATGATCAATAGACAAAGGGTGATGCCAGTAACACCTGCAACTAGATAGCCGCGTTCCCATGATGAAGAGAATCACAGGTGATAAATTGCACATCAAGGCGAAATTAGCATGATTTGCATCGGAGGTGAGATTTCTGTTATTAACAGCCCCTATGTGTTTTTATGTTCACTAGCAAACTGTATTTGACAAGTAACTTATGACTGATGTCTGTTGCAATAACCGATGATTTCAATACCAATATCAATAAAGTAAAGATCCGTTTTTTTCTGGACATAGGTTAATTATCAACATTAAAAGACACATTCGCGCCAATCAATTGAAATGACACTAACCGAAGATCATAAATCCTCTTTGGACTGAGCGAGGTCAGAGCAAGGGAAAGTTGCACTGGAGAAGGAAGGTGCTACGGCTGTGTAATAGACGCCATATTGCACGTGAAAAGCAACATGACTACACTGTTTAAACTGCAGATTCTTGTGACTGTTGTTGTGTTAATGACATGTTTTTCTAACTAATTTTGGTGCCATGATCATCACCGTTGGCATATACGGCTACATCAACATATATTGTCAGGCCTTCTTCTGTTACGACTATTACATCACCATGTACGATATCCTATATTGCATTTTCTCCTGTTTCTCTGCTGCTGCTGCAACTACTACTACTACTACTACTACTACTACTACTACTACTACTACTACTACTACTACTACTACTACTACTACTGCCACTACTACCACAACAGCAACTAACACTACTACTACTGGTGCTTCTTCTTCTTCTGCTACTACTACTACTACTACTACTACTACTACTACTACTACTACTACTACTACTACTACTACTACTACTACTACTACTACTACTACTACTACTACTACTACTACTATTACTACTACTGCTACTACTTCTTCTGCTACTACTACTACTACTACTACTACTACTACTACCACTACCACTACTACTATTACTACTACTGCTTCTTCTGCTACGACAACGGCAACTACTACTACTTCCACTACTACTACTGCTTCTGCTACTACAACTACAACTACTACCACTACAGCTACTACAACAACAACTACTACAACAACTACTACTACTACTACTGCTGCTGCTGTTGCTGCTACTATAACAACTACTTACACCGCTCCCTTTGATCATGGGTGGAATGGGGTTGAAGTAGGTGGCGCTACGGTTTTTGATAATATACCCCAGACCACCGAGGATGGAAATACTTATCCCCTCATAATGCCAAGTATGATACAGTAAGAAATAATGAACATGCAACTCGGTGACACCAATACCACAATGTATCAGCATATCCCCATGCTCTCAACCATACATAATAACCCTGGTAGGTTTACCTTTTCGTTTTGATAGGCTGTTACGGCTATAAACTCCGTTTCCTTGAACACGTAAGTTCGGAAGGCGCTGTATGGGAGTTTGAGTATGTCGTTGGCTCGGACAAGGTGAAACCGAGGCTGATACTTGTGCATGGAGTTTAGGATCGTTTGGAAGTAGTCCAGCCCAGTCTGAAATGAGGGCAAAACCACATATTAAATCCAAGAATTAACGAATGTGTCTATCGATAATAAAACGTATATAAAGTGATGCATATTCAAGCATCGTGAATTACATTTATACACATGTTAAAGACCTGGTACAGTTTCAAACTATGAACAATATAATAAAACAATATACTAAAAAAGATCACAGATACAAAGTCATGCGCTTGTGAAATACCCATGGCACTGTACTGGGACTTTACACCAAGTATGACGCTGAGCTCACCCATTATACCCATGGCACTGTACTGGGACTTTATATCCAGTATGACGCTGAGCTCATCCTTTATACCTATGACACTGCACTGGGACTTTACACCAAGTATGACGCTGAGCTCACCCTTTATACTCATGGCACTGTACTGGGACTTTATATCCAGTATGACGCTGAGCACATCCTTTATACCTATGACACTGCACTGGGACTTTACACCAAGTATGACGCTGAGCTCACCCTTTATACCCATGGCACTGTACTGGGACTTTATATCCAGTATGTGGCTGAGCTCACCCTTTATACTCATGGCACTGTACTGGGACTTTATATCCAGTATGGGTCTGAGCACATCCTTTATACCCATGGCACTGCACTGGGACTTTATATCCAGTATGACGCTGAGCTCACCCTTTATACCTATGACACTGTACTGGGACTTTATATCCAGTATGTGGCTGAGCTCACCCTTTATACCTATGACACTGCACTGGGACTTTACACCAAGTATGACGCTGAGCTCACCCTTTATACCCATGACACTGTACTGGGACTTTACACCAAGTATGGGGCTGAGCTCACCCTTTATACTCATGGCACTGTACTGGGACTTTATACCAAGTATGGGGCTGAGCTCACCCTTTACACCTATGGCACTGTACTGGGACTTTATACCAAGTATGACGCTGAGCTCATCCTTTATACCTATGGCACTGTACTGGGACTTTATATCCAGTAAGTGGCTGAGCTCATCCTTTATACTCATGGCACTGTACTGGGACTTTATATCCAGTATGACGCTGAGCTCATCCTTTATACCTATGACACTGCACTGGGACTTTACACCAAGTATGACGCTGAGCTCACCCTTTATACTCATGGCACTGTACTGAGACTTTATATCCAGTATGACGCTGAGCTCATCCTTTATACCCATGGCACTGTACTGGGACTTTATATCCAGTATGACGCTGAGCTCATCCTTTATACTCATGGCACTGTACTGGGAGTTTATATCCAGTATGACGCTGAGCTCATCCTTTATACCTATGACACTGCACTGGGACTTTACACCAAGTATGACGCTGAGCTCACCCTTTATACTCATGGCACTGTACTGGGACTTTATATCCAGTATGACGCTGAGCTCATCCTTTATACCCATGGCACTGTACTGGGACTTTATATCCAGTATGACGCTGAGCTCACCCTTTATACCTATGACACTGCACTGGGACTTTACACCAAGTATGACGCTGAGCTCACCCTTTATACTCATGGCACTGTACTGGGACTTTATATCCAGTATGACGCTGAGCTCATCCTTTATACCTATGACACTGCACTGGGACTTTACACCAAGTATGACGCTGAGCTCACCCTTTATACTCATGGCACTGTACTGGGACTTTATATCCAGTATGACGCTGAGCTCATCCTTTATACCTATGGCACTGTACTGGGACTTTATATCCAGTATGTGGCTGAGCTCACCCTTTATACTCATGGCACTGTACTGGGACTTTACACCAAGTATGACGCTGAGCTCACCCTTTATACTCATGACACTGTACTGGGACTTTATATCCAGTATGACGCTGAGCTCGTCCTTTATACTCATGGCACTGTACTGGGACTTTATATCCAGTATGACGCTGAGCTCATCCTTTATACCTATGACACTGCACTGGGACTTTACACCAAGTATGACGCTGAGCTCACCCTTTATACTCATGGCACTGTACTGGGACTTTATATCCAGTATGACGCTGAGCTCATCCTTTATACCTATGACACTGCACTGGGACTTTACACCAAGTATGGGGCTGAGCTCACCCTTTATACCTCATGGCACTGTACTTTCCAGTATGGGGCTGAGCTCACCCTTTATACTCATGGCACTGTACTAGGACTTTATATCCAGTATGGGGCTGAGCACATCCTTTATACTCATGGCACTGTACTGGGACTTTATATCCAGTATGGGGCTGAGCACATCCTTTATACTCATGGCACTGTACTGGGACTTTACACCAAGTATGACGCTGAGCTCACCCTTTATACCCATGGCACTGTACTGGGACTTTATATCCAGTATGTGGCTGAGCTCACCCTTTATACTCATGGCACTGTACTGGGACTTTATATCCAGTATGGGGCTGAGCTCACCCTTTATACTCATGGCACTGTACTGGGACTTTATATCCAGTATGTGGCTGAGCACATCCTTTATACCCATGGCACTGTACTGGGACTTTATATCCAGTATGTGGCTGAGCTCACCCTTTATACTCATGGCACTGTACTAGGACTTTATATCCAGTATGACGCTGAGCTCACCCTTTATACCCATGGCACTGTACTGGGACTTTATATCCAGTATGGGGCTGAGCTCACCCTTTATACCCACAGCACTGTACTGGGACTTTATATCCAGTATGTGGCTGAGCACATCCTTTATACCCATGGCACTGTACTGGGACTTTATATCCAGTATGACGCTGAGCTCACCCTTTATACCCATGGCACTGTACTGGGACTTTATATCCAGTATGACGCTGAGCTCATCCTTTATACCCATGGCACTGTACTGGGACTTTATATCCAGTATGACGCTGAGCTCACCCTTTATACCCATGACACTGTACTGGGACTTTACACCATGTATGGGGCTGAGCTCACCCTTTATACTCATGGCACTGTACTGGGACTTTATATCCAGTATGACGCTGAGCTCACCCTTTATACTCATGGCACTGTACTGGGACTTTACACCAAGTATGGGGCTGAGCTCACCCTTTATACCCATGGCACTGTACTGGGACTTTACACCAAGTATGGGGCTGAGCTCACCCTTTATACTCATGGCACTGTACTGGGACTTTATATCCAGTATGACGCTGAGCTCACCCTTTATACCCATGACACTGTACTGGGACTTTACACCAAGTATGGGGCTGAGCTCACCCTTTATACTCATGGCACTGTACTGGGACTTTATATCCAGTATGACGCTGAGCTCACCCTTTATACTCATGGCACTGTACTGGGACTTTACACCAAGTATGACGCTGAGCTCACCCTTTATACCCATGACACTGTACTGGGACTTTACACCAAGTATGGGGCTGAGCTCACCCTTTATACTCATGGCACTGTACTGGGACTTTATATCCAGTATGGGGCTGAGCTCACCCTTTATACTCATGGCACTGTACTGGGACTTTATATCCAGTATGACGCTGAGCTCACCCTTTATACTCATGGCACTGTACTGGGACTTTATATCCAGTATGTGGCTGAGCTCACCCTTTATACTCATGGCACTGTACTGGGACTTTATATCCAGTATGACGCTTAGCTCACCCTTTATACCCATGACACTGTACTGGGACTTTATATCCAGTATGGGGTTTAGCTCACCCTTTATACCAATGACACCGTACTGGGACTTTATATCCAGTATGACGCCGAGATGAATATTTACACACAGTCAGACGCTATATTGAGCCCTTATATCCTGTATGTGGCTGAACTGAACCTTTACATCCAATTGATATCCAATAAGCCTTTCTACCTTATAGCAGGTTGTTGTGAGCCTTTATACCCAATGGTTCTGAGCTGAGCGTTTACACCCAAAAGGACGTTATGAGACGTGATGACCTATGCATGACGATAGTCTGTCTCACAGTCCCTGAACCACAATGTGTCCCCCCTCCCAACCCTTTCTGCAATACAAAATCTCAAGATGAAGTAAATCTAGATTTAATCAGGTTCTATATCTCTGAGCTCACTGGCACTCTTTTTCAATTTAAATGGAGTTATGCATGTATCAGAATTATCTGTTTAGTGATTAAGCGTGAGTCTATATGGCGCTAGGCCGGTCCTTTCACCCTGAGCCATACACAACAGTATATGAGGCAAATTATTCACATACCCATACACTTATTTCGTCGACAAAAAATACACGAAAGGTTCAAAGGAAGAATTCTGGCAACTGTGAGCTTCAAAATACAAGTAGGTGGATTTATATGAACTTATTAAATGACTTTGGACAAAAACATCCAACACGGGAAGATACGGCTTCCCTGAAGTCCGTGAGAAGATGACGTAAGTCTGATGCTAAATTACAGATGACAGGAGTGTAAACGTCAATAATGTGTTAGGACATTAACACCCCTCTCACACCTACGAGAACAATGCAATCCATTCTGTTTTCTAGCGTTGAGATAGTACCAGGCGAGGTGACATATTTATTTGTTCTAAAACACAAAGGAAATGCTTGGTTTGCTAAGTGCTGATGATAACGCGATTTCTTTAACACCCAGATCGCGTCAAAATCTTCATTCCTCACCTCAGACAGTAGAACAGTGTTCTAGTCTACCATGCAGCTGTTAACGGCACAGCTTCGTTGCGTAAACTTTCGCACATGACGTTGGCAACAGTAAACCAATACCCTGGCCACAAATGAAGTCAGAGTCTCTTAAAACCTCATACAGAGCGCCCTGGTCGGCGAGATACCATATCAAGCCATCATCTACATATTCTAATGTAAAACCATCGCGACATCAGCAATTTCGCGAATGAGGATTTCCGTAGCGATATTTTCAGCACGGTTGTCGATTCATGAGTGCCAAGTTAGCGCTTGACGATGCTATCGCTGCAATCGTAAATCTAGCCGTCCACTCACGTAATAATTCGCCACATAAGCGTAAAAACTCCGCCAAGCCCTTGCAATTACCCCCCTTGCATA